TGTCATCGCAAATCTCTACATCATTTGCATGGACAAGAACTTCCACCAAGACGTCCCTTAAATCTGGCTCCATATCCGAAACTAGTCCCTGTGTTACTATACTCCTGAAGAAAAGTTAGCTATATGAATTTTAGTCATTTAGAATAACATCCCAAACTGTACTTGGCCAAAATAGCAATAAATATGAGGGTCAAAACAGCACCAAATATGGGACCAAAACAGCACCTATAAAATACGAGGACCAAAACAGCACCTAAATATGGGACCAAAACAGAACCTAAATATGGGGACCAAACAGCACTAAATATGGGGCCAAAACAGCCCCTAAATATGGGGACCAAAACAGCACCTAAATATGTGGCCAAAACAGCACTAAATATAAGGCCAAAACAGCACCTAAATATGGGGCCAAAACAGCACCTAAATATGGGCCAAAACAGCACCTAAATATGGGCCAAAACAGCACCTAAATATGAGGCCAAAACAGCACCTCAATTTAGGGCCAAAATAGCATTAAGAATAGGGGCCAAAACGGCCCTCGAGGTGCCAAAATAGCCCTTGTGATCCGTTTTGGCCCCTGTTAGAGCCAAAACGGTACTTATTGCAAAGTGACACAATTCTTATTTTAACCATTAACATTCCAATTTGGCCCTGTACGTGGCCAAAACGGCTAGAAAAATAAGGGCCAAAACGGCCCTAGTGTTCTGTTTTGGCCCCTAGTGTTCTGTTTTGGCCCCTGTTAGAGCCAAAACGGCCCGGTTTTGAAAAGCCAAAATGGCCCTATGGGGCCAAAATGGCCCTTCTAAAATTACTGTGTGGATACGCAGTGGATACACAGTTATTTTGAGAACGATGCATACAGTTAGTTTAGCATTAATAAATCAAATTTTGATGCTATATAGGTAGCTCTATGTTTTAGTGGATACGCGGATACGTGGATACGCAGTCAACCCGTTATTTTATCCGCTGACCATTTTTGATCGCTTAACCATATAAAATTGACTGCGTATCCACGTATCCGCGTATCACTAAAATATATAGCTACCTGTAACATGAGAATTTGATCTATCACTGATCTATTTATTATTAATCTATTAAGAATAAATATATGTTAACAATTAAATTCTGGCCACGTATATATCCAGTGAAATATTATACTATCAAGTTCTGACCGCGTATCTGCGTATCCAGTGAAATAGTGGCTACATGATATGACATAACTAGTGGGCGGGTATTCTGCAATTTAGCCCACAATCTGTCATATATACAGCTATACTATTTGGCATTACAACTGTGTCAAATTTTATCGTAATAATGCAAATATTGTCGCGGCAAATTCAAATATATTTAAGCCGGGTCACATGCTCAAAATTCAGGAATGATGATGGTAAAATATTTCGTTTCAAAATTGCTCTATTATATAAAAAACATCGCAATATTCTTACCTGGATATTAGTCAGTCATCCCTGATGTTCCATCTTCGTTAAAATACGTTATTTTCATTTAAAATATTGATCTTTCAAGCTGATAAAGTTAACTGAATAAAAATTTTAAAAATATGGCGGTCTGATCGAATGACGCTATCTGATCTCAGGAAGCTTTGCGCGTGTTGTAGGAAAACCAGTGAACTCTACTATATATTGGAACGATAACTGCTGATAAACATGCCCATATTTGCCTGAGCCAAGATGGCGCAAATTGAAGCTCATTTTGTAGGTATAAACACGCGTGATTTTTGCGTGGGCTTTGTCACGAGGTTCGGAGCAAGTCAAAAGCGTATTAAAATATTTTCACAAGTGTGGATTCAAAGACCAAGAAATTTCGGGGTTTTTACTTGAAATGCGTAAGATTTTTGAACTCTTTTAACAGCAATTTTAATAAAAAGTATATTTCTTGATAATAAGACACAATCAATCAAGTATTAAAGTTATTTTATGAAGAAAAATCGTTTTACTTTTATACTGTTTTACTGACTGAAAAGTCAAACGTTCCAACAGCAAAGAATTGGTTCAGTTTCGGCTATACTTGTGGACTCAGGCCAACGAATCATTAATTAAAAGATAAGTATTATATTATTTTACTCTTATTTTTTTATAACAATTGATTTTTGAACAAGATCAACCTGTTTAAATGGTGCCTGTCACTGGGCATTCCATTCTGTATGATTGTCTCGCTGTAGTGCTTCCCGTACGTGAAGAGACACTATGTACAATATTTGTCTGCTGCCCACTTTATTAACTTTACTTGGTGGTCATCTTGGAGCATATCTTCGTTTGCACCTACCTCGTGGTCTGCAAACACAGATTTGTTGCCGTCCAGGAGAAAATGATGACAAACTTCCAGAATCATTTTGGTTTTCAGGTTCTTCATGTTGTTGATGTTGTTGTCTTTCTGGCAGACATACAGTTTAAAGATATGTTCACAGAGTTCAATTGTAGTGTAAACAGACTTTGATGGTATGCGAAATCCGCCGTTGTTGACAAACAAAGTAAACGCTGAAGCTGAAGATACTTGACTGTAAGTTGATGGGCCACAATAGTCGTGATCTAATGCTTTCAGTAACCAGCACACCAAAAAGACATTCTTTGCATGCTTGACAGGTGATCTTCTTTACAAGTTTAGAGACAATAAATCCCCCAATGTAAAACAATATATTAGATATAAAATCGGAGTGGCTGTTCTGGTGTAGTTGTCCATACATGAAATTTTCTTCAGCTGTTTCCTGTGGATTTAGGGCATCTGGCGTGTCAGCATTCTGATCTTGGGTGGACATTTCTATGCTATATTTTGGACAGTATAGGAATGATTGTAGTGGTTTTGTTGTCTTCGAAATCTATACAATTGGCATTCTTAGAGGCAGTTACAGCATTACTCATCAACAACTGTCGTAAAGCGTACTTTATCTGTAAGCAGTTGGGGTTATTGTTCCAGCCTCCCTTCGATCGAATACAGGAAAACAGGAGTTCGATATCGTCCTGCGAAAATTCATAGGTTAAAAGGTACTTGAAGGGATCAGCAGGTTTTGAAAACATTTGATCAGCCATCTCAATCGTTGATTTGATAGTAGCGACAAAACCGATGATGAAGGTCTTTCGTCTGTGCGTTGCTAACTGCTGTGGACTGGCTGAATCTGTTTTGAGTTGAAGGAGGTAATTGGCTGTGGTTTTCAGAATTTCCTCATACACGTTCTTGTTTGATTGTCGTAGTGGTTGTTTGTACCTTTTCCAATTGAACTTCTTGAATTTAGCATGTCAAAAAGACGGTCGATTTTTTCTGGTAAATTTGACAATGCCGTTTTAAAATAGTATATTTTTACACGTAGTTATTTGGTTCGCATATTCGCTGAGACATTTATTCAAGCTATGGCTCTCATTGTAATATGATCTAATGCGCTTAGTAAGTAGGGAGATCGGGATACTTTGCCGTATATTTGGTCAAATACAGCACATTCTCCTCTCTGGATACATAAATTTCCACTCCTGTCCTTCCGTATTAAAAAGCCTGGTTCCTGAGCTTCTTGTTGATACCAATATGGCGCAATATATTCACTAAAAGAAAACATGGCTCGGACGCGTTTTTTAATCAGACGTCGATATAAACCTATATTCGCGTATATTGCGTCGTGTCTATAAGTTAATTTTCGTGGTTTTCAACGTTTATGGGAACCCATAGTAATCATCATTGCTCATAGAAAGCCCAGATTCTGGACTTCGTTTTGATATCAAATATGGGTATTATATGGCCGGCTATATGAAAAGGATAGATGTTGTTGTTACATGTTCATCGCGTCTTCGCTCACATGAAAATTATCGTTTGTGGATAATTCACTTGTCAATTTTTACTGCATTTCTCGGCAAAAATGGACGGTCTAAAATATATCAGATCACTTCGAAAATAACAGAAGGAATACTTGATGATATGAAGTTTACGAGGGAGTTGAGGCAACTTTGACAAGAAATGAAACGGGTCGTAAAATTTTGACTGGCCATTTTCGCGGAAATTGGGCACATTGTATACAGTTCGTAGGAGCCAGATCTGTGCGATACGGGTAAAGAAATGGACGTACTAGGAGGTAATAATATGACATGATATTTATCTTATTTGACTACAAATGTTTTGTTATTTTCAAAAATAGTGAGGCAAATTTTGTAACAGCGATTGAACTGGCTTATATTTACAAAAAATGTCGCCCCACTATACTATTCTATAGTAGCGTTTCGGCCATTTTGTTTTTTAAAGTTCGCACATGCTCAGTGCAAATGTCTTGAATTTCTGGCCATGCCACTGCTGTTTTGGAATTTGGGGCATTTCATGCCAATGTCAAGAAATTCAATTGCATCAGCCACTGAAAAGCTTAACGTCTGAGCTGGTAGCCAAACATTCATTTTGTGCTTTCCGAATTTGATGTGGTTGGGTGATAACTTGTTGCCCATCTTCAATCCCTTCTGTTCTTGAAGGATGTACAGTTGCTGAAAATGCTCCCACTGTATTTATTTCCCTTCGCCATCAATAATTGTGCCAAGGTGTGCCAATGCATTTCTAGCAAGTTTCAGCATATAGCATGGATCCGCAATAACAAACATACTACCAACAAACGTACGTTATAGACCATACTTTCAACCCTGGATTAGCTGCCATTTCGAGTGCCATGTTTATCAATTGCGCTTTGTGTGTAGATGAGATCTTATCGGTAAGGAAGTTGTCAATTGAGCATTTCCAATGGCTACTAGCTCCAACCAGCAGGAAAACGTGGGCTTCCGAAGCTAACGTCTCCGGATCATCAAGGATCGGTCCTCCCTGGCCATAGTCCACAAAACAAGCATAACAATCCTTCTTTGGGTCCTATATTGTTTGTTTTCTGATGGCCATAGCATTGATAATCAAGCAGCATTACTTTTTAATAGCATCTCTGCTGACTTCACTTGCCAAGGCAGTAAATGCTTCCTTAAAAAAACCTGGTTCACAGTTAACAGATGACGACCAATTCCGAAGGAGGGATTGACTTGGTAGTGGAATCATAGACCTAACATACCGGGGGTATGCTTTGGGAGAATAAAAATATAGTGTTAGTGCAAATTCCTTCACTTCGTCAGAGTATCTTCTACCTGTTGGTGTACTGCTTAAATTGTCTTTTGCATTTTGAAAAAACGATAATTGTAGGTTCTCAAATGCTGCGTGGACTATACCTGCCCGTTCTGTAATTATGACCAATTTTTCTTGTAAGTGTAAAATGAGATCTTTCATGCTCTGTAACTTTTTCTTAGATCGTTTCAGTTGCTGTTGTAAACCCTTAATTTTTTGTCTTAATTTCTGTTGTAATTCAGGTTAACTTCTGTTGTAATTTCTGTTGTAATTCATCCTGCTTGTCCTCGGCTAAATCATCATCATCTTGCGGTTCTTCGTTGCATCTTGCATAATTATGTTCACGTAGGATCTTTGCTGCAGGTGACATGGAGTCTAATTCATCTGGTGATAGTGAACGTTTTCTAGGAAGTCCGAGCCGTCTCCTTTCTGTATCAGAAAGATCACTGCTGTTAGGTATATCCAATATTGAAAATACTGACGGTACTGCATTTTTTTTAAATTTACATGTCTCTTTCACAGTTGTTGGAGGAACAATGTAATCCAATCGTTCAAAATGGTTACTGCATATGAAGCTGTATCAAGTAGCTGTCCACACTTGGCCATTGTGGTTTATTTTCATAACTGCATTTTCCCATTTTTCTAGCATGATTGGATCTTTTAAAGGGAACCTGAATATACATGCATTTTTGGTTATAGTATCATATATTGATATATGACAGGGAAAAGGGGTAATTAATTTTATATTTTGTAGTGTAGTTTTTACGATTAAATTAACCCATTGAGCGCCTGCGCTCTCCTCTTGATAAGTAAAATTCCTGACTTGGTATTTTATCCTCTTGGTATTTTATCGTCTTGTATTTTATGTGACTTGGTATTTTATCCTCTTCCTGCCAAACTATTAAAGCGTTTACAGCGAGTTCAATCTTCCGCCGCATGCTTTGTCACAGGAAAGTTTTCAAAAGAAGACGCTGTTGTGAAACTGGGCTGGTTCCCAATGCTCGAAAGACACGACTGGCATCTGCTAAAAACTGCTTGCAAAGCTTTGAACTATGACCATTGGCTGGAATATGCAAAGCTAAAATTATATAACCCAGGGAGAAGTGGACTTCAATCTTGCCCGAAAGATCTCTTAGAAACATCAACTGATCGGGACATATTTCAATATTCCGCAGCTAAATGTTTCAATAAACTACCTCAAACCCTGAGGGCTGAGAAAAACTTTGAAACATTTTGTGCTGAAACAAGAGTATTTCTCTTCGATCAAGCAAGAGAACGTTTGGGTTATCTTTTACGTTCCAGTACTCTAGCATGTGCATGTACAATATTTTAATGTTTTAACTAATGATAAGAAGTAGCATATATTATAAGTAGTATATAAGTAGTATATAAGTAGTTACATTGTAGATGAAGAGCCATGTAAAATGGAAGGCTACAATAAATTCGTTATTATTATTATTATTATTATTATTATTATTAAATTGTCTGGCGTTAGACAGAGTAAAATAATAAAGTGGGGCGCAGTGTGACTCAATGGGTTAATTTCACAATTTGTTTCTCTGAGCCCTTTACAGAGGCCTTGTAAGGAACAATTGCCACTTGTGATATACACATTCAGGCCTCTTGTGGAAGTGGTCATTGAGTACTTACAGTTTGTGTAGTTTTGCTGTACATAGTTTTACTGTAAATATATATGTGTATTGCATGTCTGGTATGGTCAATTGTTTTCAGTATGTAATTTATTTTAAAAAATACGGTATATATACCCATGCCAGGTGATGTGTAATACAATTATTGCAGCCTAAGGCTTAATTAATACATTGTTTACGTTGTTGCAAAAATAAACACTTGCCTGTGAAATGAAATTTTTGGCTTATTTTCTTTGTCACTGCTGTAATATCCATTACTTTTGCACTTATGAATCGTACAGTTAACTGGCATGTTATTTTTTTTCTTCTGAAAGGAGATAGCTTTTGTTTTTTACTTCAGGAAATGATTTGTTCTTAAAATCTCAGAAGCAAATTGTACTCTGACAGGTGAAAAAGTACTAGGGAGAGTTAAGAAGATTTTTAGAGATTTGATTCTGTTTTTGCACGAAAATACTCATTTTTAGTGATACATAGCCTACCTAAAAGGTAAAAAATAAGTGAAAAAGTAAGATTGATGTAACTTTAATCCATGTACGCTGTGTTCTTTTTAAATTCCTGACCGAAAGTCTTGAAAAAACAAAAGTTTGCCGATGTTTTTTGGCGGCTTTTTTGCCGAACTGTTTTTCACTCGTCAAATAAGTTGAGATAAAATAACAAAATGTTTCTAAAATTTACTTCTTCTGCAAGACCACTTTCTCTAGTTCGCTAGAGGCATAGAAAAGCTCGACTTTCAAACGGTCGGCTGAAGAATTATAAAGCTTTCACATAAATGGTAAACATTTTTCGTACGGAATTTAGTAAATTTCCGCGCAGGGGCCTGGATCATACATACAAAACAAGTTTCAATTTCCGCCATCTTGGCTTCAATTTTTGAGCCGGAGTTATCGTTCCAGTATATAGTAGAGTTCACTGAGGAAAACTAGGCACCAGTCTGTCAAGCCGCGCTCATCGTGAGAATTTTCATGCCAAATTATAAACGTAAGTAGGGCAAAATTGGGGGAAATAACTTTAAAAAGAAGGCATATGCTATATTGTAGTTGAAAATAAAATAATTATGTAAAAGTAACGAGGAATTTTAACATTAAAGGAAAAGTTTTTTGTCGACCCCTCTCCCCACCCCCCACCCCATCCCCACCCCCATCAATTTTAGGAAAGTTTAAACAGACATTTTTCAGTAAAGTCAGAGACTTTACTGAAAAATTAATTTCCTTCCTCCTTAATTTGTTTCGCTCCTGTGTGCTCATGTACCGAAACACCTACCTCCACAAACACTATAAATATTTTTGTAAATATAGTTTCCATGAACTCATGCAGAGTTTAAAATTAACTCAAACTTTGAAATTTTGACCAGTTAAATAAATATAATATTTAAATAAATATATGATAATTATTTAAAATTTGCATTGCATGACCAAATTGTCGGGTTGGCTTTGCCACAGGCACTGCTTTATAGTATAGAAGCTATAGTGTATTTTTAAAGAACTATAGTTTTCAAATAACTATATATAGTGCTTTAGTTATAAAAACTATAGTTTACAGGTACGGAACTATAGTTTTCATAGAACTAAAGCGTGTTGGTAAAAACTATAATTTTCAAAAAACTATAGTTAACTGGTACAGAACTATAGTTTTCACAGAACTATATTATAATAGTAAAAACCATAGTTAGTCATGAAACTATAACGTATTGGTAAAGAACTATAGTTTTCTTAAAACTATATAGTGTATCGGTAATGAAATATACGTCTATAGTTTTCCGATAAATTTATAGTGTATTGGTAAAGAACTATAGTTTATACTAGAGATAAAAACCATAATTGTCTAAACTCAACTATAGTTTTCAAAAAACGTTCCCTTGGGTTATAAAACTATAGTTTATTGCAAAAAAACTATAGTTATTTTGAAGTTAACTGGAGGGGTTTTTTTGAAACTATAGTATTCCACCATAAACTACAGTTTTTCACCAAACACTATAGCTTTTCTCAAAAAAACTATAGTTTAATTTTGGCTGACATGATTTGCCACAAGGTTTATGAATTTTTAATGAGTATTTTAAATATATTTCATATATTCTTACAACTGAAGAGTTACTTTAGTCTTGAAGAACGAGGAATGTACATATATATTTGAGATCACGCACTATAATTACAGTGTTAAATATTTTGCGTGATTTAATATAATTCCAGCGAGTCCCTACTGTCTGTACTGAGCATCAGTATACTATTGAACATGTAGATATATCATATATTCAAACAACTAAATAGTTAGTTTAGTCTTGAAGAACGAGGAATGAACATAAATATTTAATATGAATGAACATATATATAGGCTATATATTTGAGATGAAGGTTCATAATCAGATACAATGACAATTACGGTGTAACATTTGCCTAGTGATTTAATAATTCCAGCGAGTCCTTACTCAGTATCAGTTGTGCCGGCCTATACAGTATTTATATGTGTACTAAAGTGTCTTTTAAAGAACGTGGCAAACTCATGAAGTACATAACATTTACATTCATGAGTTTATAGTGTACATTTTGAATCACTGCGCATTTATATGTGTGCATGTGAGCGTGTCTTTTAAAGCTGGAGGCAAACTCATGAAATACTCATAACATTTATATTTACAAGTATCTATAGTGTGCATTTTAAATAACTGCGCATTTGTGTGTGTGCGAGGCTGTCTTTTAAGGAACGAGGCAAACTCATGAAATACATAACATCTATATTTATGAGTGTATTATTATAAGTGTATATAGTGTGCATTTTAAATTAACTGCGTGTGTATATCTTGAGACACATAATATTCATGAGCGTAGTGTGTAAGGTGAGTCATTTAAAGAACGAAGAAAATACGTGGTATACTGCGCATTTATATGTAATGTGAGCGTGTCTTTAAAGAACGAGGCAAACTCATGAAATATATAACATTTATATTTATATTTATAAGTGTGTATAGTGTGCATTGTAAATAACTGCACATTTATATGTGTGTGAGCGTGTCTTCTAAAGAACGAAACAAACTCGTGAAATACATACCATTTATATTTTTATAAGTGTATATATTGTGCATTTTAAATAACTGCGTGTTTATGTATTGAGACACATAATATTCGTGAGCGTAGTGTGCAAGTGAGTCGTTTAAAGAACGAAGCAAATAGTTTACGTGGTATGTAAACTATAAAATTATTACATACAGTAATGTTTTAGTTATCATTAACGCGCTATTATACGTTGAATTAGATTTTTAAAGAACGAGACATGAACATGTATATATTTCAGATATTCATACAACTGATGAGTTACTTTTGTCTTGAAGAGGAGGAATAAACATACATATTAACACATTTGAGATAGATTCATAATTTATAATGTAACTTGCGGCGTGAAATTTTACCAGTTTAATGAGTCGTACGAATTTTGTGGTCTTATAACTAATGGCTAAAGTACAAGTGGTAAATCACGACTTTCGATTTTCACGAGTTGTTCAATGCGACAAGTCGTGAGATTTTACGAATTTAACGAGTCGTACGAATATTGTGAAGGTCTTACTAATAGCTAAACCACGACTCGTGAATCACGACTTTCGAATTTCACGAGTCGTTGCATGCGACAGTATTGGACATGTTTGCCAACCCCCCCCCGAAAATTACATTTCCAGCCAAAGAAAAGTCCCTTTTTCCCAAATTTATACAAACAAACCAGTGAAGAATAACAAATAGATAAACGGAAATTGAGTTTTAGGCTTTATCCTTTGTCCTTGTTTAGCAAAATCGATTTAAATTGTTACGTTTTTCTACCACTAAGTAATGACAAATTATTGTTAATAATTATGTTATTTTTTGGATGCTCAGAATGCAAAACTTTTCTGGAGAGTATGCCTTACACACGTGGCTTTCAGCCATTGCTATCCCCCTCTAATAAGCATTGATAAATTACAATGTAAAAACTGATAGGTTAAAATAACAAAAAAAAATAGGTTATTTGGTTTGGTCTAGGACAACCCGATAAATATAGGTTATTTCAATAGGTTAAAAGAACCGAAAATGAATAGGCTAAAACAAACCATTAAAAATGGGTTGGTTTATACCCATAAGAAATAGGTTGTTTTAATAGGTTAAAACAACTAAAACAAGACGCCGACTCGGCGTTAACCTCGGGTCGGTGGATAGGGGATCATCTGGTAAATATCCAAAAATTGTGTAAATCACGATAGTTTAATAGTTCACTAGTATAAATGGTGAATCAGTTAATCAAAGCTCCGTTTTAATATTTTATTGACAATAATTACTGGCCCTCATCAAACCTATTGTTTTCTCTCTGCATTATATCAGCGAATATCGCGAAGTTTTCATTTAACGTTCTACTGAAAAACGGGAGCGGCCTTTTTGGTTGTATAGGGAAATTCCGGCTCAGGGGTAAGTAAGAGTTCGATACCGAAAACGGAGGCTCTTAGTCAGATACAAACCCGAGGGGCCGTAGGCCCCGAGGGATTTATCTGACTAAGAGCCGACGTTTGAGGTATCTAACTAACTTAGTTCATATTTGTAAGGATTGACCCACAATGAAATTTACTTTATGATATGTATTGTTCTTTAAACGAGTTTGAATTACCATGGTTGTAATAAAAACAAACAGGGCTATTTTGATATGCATCAATTCTCGTGTCGCACTACTGTATACTATCAATGAGAAGTGATTAAATATTCGTTCACCAACCACAATTACGATGAAATATGTTTGAAATAGCTCATACAACCGAGAAGAGCTAACGAAGATTTGTACGGGTTTGTCGAAGCAGAAATTCTCAAGTTGTTCTCAACAGGGTTTTATTTGCAGGATAAAAACCAAATGGGAGGTCTTTCATTGAGATTCAAGACCGAGGCGTGCAGCACCGAGGCTTGAATTTCAATGAAAGACCGACCATTTTCTATTGTCCTTGGGAGGTTGTGGGACGAAATAAGGTTGAACATGCGCATTAAACACGCTTTAATGTGGTTGAGCATGCGTAGTATATCATTTCGCGTCCCACAAGCGAAAGAGTAGATATTACTGTATAAATTCCTTGCACAAGCAAGTTTGATAAATATTCTACCCAGAAGTAGAGTTTGACGGGCTTTGAGGTACACGGCTGTTGTCTCTTTCTCGACTCAGAGACGTGCAGCGTTTTCTAGTCGAAAAGGAGATGTGGGGTTTGAGTTTGGTTAAAAATTCAAGGTATCTAACTCCATAGTGACCTCCAAAAGGGGTCACTATGGAGTTAGATACCTTGCATTTTTAATTACACTGTAAAAACTGATAGGTTAAAATAACCAAAAAAAATAGGTTATTTGGTTTGGTCTAGGACAACCCGATAAAAATAGGTTATTTCAATAGGTTAAAAGAACCGAAAATAAATAGGTTAAAACAAACCATTAAAAATGGGTTGGTTTATAACCCATAAGAAATAGGTTGTTTTAATAGGTTAAAACAACTAAAATTAAATAGGTTAAAACAAACCATAGAAAATGGTTACTTTAACCTATAAATCTGTAATATGTCATTTTAACGTATTAATTATTGGTTGATTGAACTAAAAATTTATGGTTATTTTGACCAATTAAAAAAGGTAATTCCAACCTATATTCAAAAGTTAAAATGACTAAAATTTAAACTGTCAAATTGAGCATATTTCAACCAAATAAATATAGGTTGTTTTAACTATAATACAAATGGTACGGATATTCACCAATAATATTTTGGTTGATTTGGCCAATTTTTTTAGTTATAACAACCAGTAAATAACGGTCAAAGTCGGAGTACGAAACATCGCGCACTTTCGTTGGTCAAATGATGTTGCGTCAACTGAATAAGATGCGCTAAAACGAAATAGCTAAACAATAATTCTGCAGGCAATTAATCATCCAAGTACGCTATAATCAAACAATATTATGAACTGTATATAAAAATATATTTTGTAACATCTAAAATTACAGTAAGTACACAGTAGTGCGTTTTGTGTTACTATAGCCTGTGTTCCAGTTGACTACACTGTTACTGACACACAGGCTAGAGAGTTGCATGGTTTTGTCAAGTATTATATATTATCATGAAATCATGGCTAAGCACTTAAGTGCTTAGCATTAATTAGATCGCGATCACCATGCAACCCCGGCCTGTTTGTGCATTCTCAATCTCTCATTATTATAATATGTTACAACAATCGATCGCCATATAATCTTAGTTCTAGCTTGTTCTATAGTTCACCGATTGGCAGAGTTTGACCAATCCTTCCCAGCCGAATATGCTTGAGGAACATTGCCAAGTCCATTGAGGTATTCAGCATTAAGAACAAAATACCGTAAACCTCCGACTGTAAGCCCTGGGCTTATATTTTTCCGTAAGCGATTTTTGATGGGCTTATACAAGGAGGGGCTTATATACGGGGGGGGGGGCTTATACACGGACGATCTTTTGTGTTAGTGTAATAGTGACAAACAAGTAAAGTAATAGTGATAAACAAGTGTTAAGCATACTAGCATAGTAATAATAGTGATTAGTATAATTACATAGGTGATTATTGAAAATTCTCCACGCTGATTGGTTGCCGTTGAGGTGATTATTACGCGATAATCACCTGAGCGATTTTCAAAATGGCGGCCGAAGCCGTTTTGTGAATTAAATGACGAAGAAATATGTATTTTTTTATATTTTTCCAAATAATCACCTATGAAATTATACTAAAACAATTATTCACCTCAGGCTCGGTGATTATCATGAATAAAAACCTCGACTTCGTCTCGGTTTTTATTCGCCGATAATCACCTCGCCTTCGGCGAATAATTGTTAATTAATAGTGGTAAGTGGTAATAGTGATAAACAATAAATGGTGATAACTGATAAACAAGTGGGCTTATAT